AGCTTGATTTTTTCTATATGGGATTTGCCAAACTAACAAATCTCTACCTTAGCATGTCCCAACATTGACAATTAACAAAACTTGCTTCACTTTCTTCACAAAAGCCCCAACGGGCAATCACCAATAATAAACACCAACCAAGTCCAAGCGCACTGCTTGAACTTGTAAACCAGAAGAGGCTTCGTAAGCATATCAGCTGGATTGTCCTTTATATGAATTTTCTGAACAAGGACATTTCCCTCAGCAATGGTATCTCGAATAAAATAAAACTTCATATCGATATGTTTTGTCTTCTCATGATACATCTGGTCTTTAGTCAAATGAATAGCACTTTGACTATCACAGTAAATTGTAGTACCACCTTGATGCAAACATAATTTGTCGAACAAACCTCTTAACTATAAAACTTCTTTGATCGCCTTTATTATTGTCATATATTCTGCCTCTGTAGTAGATAAAACCATGACAAGTTGTAAGGAAGCTTTCCAATTAACTACACAATCGCCAATGCAAAAAACATAGCTTGTCAAAGATCTTCGTTTATCAAGATCCGTAGCATAATCAGAATTGACGAAACCAACCAAAGTGTCACGATTTTTCCCAAACTCTAAACAAGCATCTGAAGTCCCTTGCAAGTATCTGAGAATCCACTTCACAGCCTGCCAATGTGTTTTACCTGGGCGAGACATATATATGCTAACCACACTGACTGCTTGTGAAATATTTGGACGAGTACAAACCATTGTATATATAATACTGCCGATGACACTGAAATATGAAACTTGCACCATATATTCTTCCTCTTCAACTAATTGTGGTGATTGAGCAGCAGATAGCCGAAAATGGCTAGCAAGAGGAGTACTTACTGGCTTAGCATTTTTCATGCCAAACCTCTCTAAGACTTTCTCGAGGTAATTTTTCTGGGTCAGAAATAATTTTTCAACTCCTCGTACTCTTTTGATCTCCATGCCAAGAATTTTCTTAGCTGCTCCCAAATCTTTCATTTTAATTCACTACTTAGCAAATTCGTAGCTGCAATAAGCATGTCATCAACATAAAGCAACAAATATATAAAAGAGCCATAAGTAAACTTCCGGAAGTAGACACAACTATCATACATGCTCCTCGTGTAACCATGACCCAACATAAAAGAATCAAATCTCTTATACCACTGTCTTGGAGACTGCTTCAATCCGCACAAGGATTTCTTTAATAAGCAAACATGGTCTTTTTTACCATCAACTTCAAATCCATGAGGTTGCTCCATGTAAATTTATTCTTCAAGTTCCCCATGTAAAAAAGCTATCTTGACATCAAGTTGCTCAAATTCCAAATCATACATGGCAACTAAAGTAAGCAAAACACAAATAGAGCTATGTTTAATAATAGGTAAAAATATGTCATTAAAATCAATACCATGTACTTGACTATAGCCCTTTGCAACCAATCGTGCTTTGTACCTTGCATCTTCAACCCCTGGAATACCTTCCTTCCTTTTGAAGATCCATTTGCATCCAACAATTTTCTTACCCGAAGGCGGCTTCAAAAGATCCCAAGTTCTATTCTGATGGAGAGATTCAATTTTTTCATTCATCGCAATCAACCATTTTACAGAATTATCACAAGAAACTGCATTTGAGTAGGTAGTAGGCTTACTAACTTCACTTGTTTCTTCTGCAATAGACAAAACATATGCAACCAAATTTGCATATCTTTATAGTGGTCGAATATCTCTCTGTGGCCTATCCTTAACTATGAAATATTGCTCTTCATCTAAATCATCTTCGTCAGTAGACTCGAGACTATCTACTGGCATTATTTGAGTAGAAGAGTTCAATTGAAAAGAATTAGAACTACCAATCTCAAGCTCTATTTGCTTCTGTGCACTATCATTTGTACAACTAGTAGATTCCTCTTTGGAAGATAACATAGATAATTCATAAAACGTAACATGTCTACTGATTACAAATTTTAGAGATTTGAGATCAGAACACCATAATCTGTATCCTTTCACCCCAGAAGCATACCCTAGGAAAATGTACGTTTTAGCCCGAGGCTCTAATTTTCCTTCATTTACATGCATGTATGCTGAACACCTAAAAATTTTTAAACCAGAGTAATCAGTAGGAGTACCTGACCAAACTTCCTCCGGAGTTCTAAAATTAGGTGTTGTAGAAGGAGCGCGATTGACAACGTAACAGACCATATTAATCGCCTCTGCCCAAAAGTCCTTTGTCAATCCTGCATTTGAGATCATACATCTTGCTCTCTCCAAGAGTGTTCTATTCATATGTTCAGCCACATCATTTTGCTAACACATCATCCTAGCAATGTGATGCCGAATAATTCCTTCATTTTTACAGAATTCATCAAAGTCACCTTCATAAAATTCCATGCCATTATATGTTCGAAGCTGCTTAATCTGTTTACTTGTTTGCTTCTCAATCAAAGCCTTTCATTGTTTAAAGGTTAGAAAAATATCATTTTTATGCTTTAGAAAATAAACTCAAACTTTCCTGGAATAATCGTTAATGAAAATCAAATATATACCTAGCACCACCCTTAGACTGAACACGAGCTGGACTCCAAAGGTCTGAATGAATATAGTCAAGAGTACCTTTCGTTTTGTGAACTGTTGGAGAATTGAAACCGACTCTTTTATGCTTTTCAAAAATGCAGTATTTACAAAAATCCAGTGGCCCAATACTCTGTCCGTAAAGAATACCTCTTTTGCTTAATATGCTCAAAAACCTTTTTCGCTCATATGACCCAAACGCATATACCATAATTTGATGATGTCAGAATCAGACAATGATGATGACGAGACTGCAACCGAGCTTGTGACAGTAGTTCCCTACAAAATATACAAGCAACCAGACCTATAAACTTTCATAACAATAATGACACTTCTAGAAACTTTCATTACTCTACCTTCAGCTGCGTATTTATACCCAAGAGCCTCTAGAGTGTCTAAAGAGACGAGATTCTTTTTTAAATCAGGAACATGTCTAACATCAGTGAGCGTCCTCACAATACCATTATGTATTTTAATTGGATCGTGCCTCTACTAATAACACCACATGTGGCATTATTGCCCATCAAAACAATTCCATAATTACAAGATTCATATGTGAAAAACAAATCTCTATTGAGACACATGTGATAATAACAATTCAAATCTAAAATCCATTTATTTTTAGACCTCGTCCTGTCATCAATAGTCAAGACAATATTTTCAACATTCTCATCAGCTGCTACACTAGCTTCAACGGACTCAATAGTTTTCTCAGTAATTTTTCTCTTTTTTTTTAAATTTATTTTTTAATTTAAAGCAATCAGCCTTAATTTAAAGTAATTTTTCTCTATACTCCAAATTTGTATGTTTGAATTTAGATCTAGATTTAGATCTACTATTATCAAATTTCCTTGTATCTGTTCTACCCTTAACAACCAGACCATCAGCCTGATTTCCTCTACTTTCCCCAGTGATATCCCTGTGCTCCTTAGATTTTAGTGCGGATTTAATTTCCTGATACGAAATTGTTTCTTTTCTATAAATCATAGTATCACAAAAATATTTAAAAGATTGGGGAAGAGAACACAAAAGTAACAGAGCCTTATCCTCGTCATCGATTTTCGCATCTATATTCTCCAAATCCATAACTAAGGAATCAAATTTATCAAGATGTGAGAGTATAGATGTACCTTTAGTCATCCAAAGCATATATAAACTCTGCTTCAAGAGAGACGATTCTCCACTATCTCTTCATATACAAAGCTTTAAGCTTGTCTCACATGCTCTTAGTCGTAGTCTCCGTAGCTACCTCCCGTAAAACCTCGTAAGAGAGATTTAGAATAATGCTTGATCGAACCTTCTTATCCATACCCGCAAGATCTTCCTTTGACATATCATTTAGAATGTTCTCAGCTCCTTATAGTGCCAAATCAACTCCGTCTTGAACCAGAATAGCCTCCATCTTGAGTTGCCACATGCCAAAGTTGATATTTCTATCGAATTTCTCAACAACGATCTTTGTTATTGTCATTGTTACCAAAAGATCCCGAAACCAAGCTCTGATACTAGTTTGTTAGAGTTGGCCCTAAAAAATTTACCAAAGGATAATTTGGTAACCCAATAAAGATAATAAAACAGAAAAATAAAAGAGACAAGGACACCAAATTTACGTGGTTCGATCAATTCACCTACGTCCATGGACAAAGGAGGAGCAAAACTCTACTATAATAGGAACAATTACAAATGCCTTAGAAAAATATTCCTATATCATAAAACACTTAAAACTACTAAATAAAAAAAGTTCAAACTATAATTCCAAACTATTTTAACTAAGTGTGGACTTAATAGAAATTAAACGCAAAACAAATAATTAGATTTTTCTTATGATGCACATGGCTTCAAAGCTCAGACTCTTATTTATAGTTGTAATAGGAGATAACAAGCTTAATTTTCCTGATGTGAGATTATATGGGACTCGCTAGATGTGAGATTATACGTACTTGCCAAACTAACAGTTGACTCACACGTGTGGAACGACTGTAGCATTTGGTTGCAACATAGTAGAAATGACAAAAAGAGGAGTATTCATCAACTTCAGTGATGGGGTAACATATAGCGAGCTTTGTCAGGGGTATGACTGCAAGAATAATAAGGCTACCAAGCTTACTGAAGGCTTGAAAGAAAACCATCTTCAGTAACTCTAATATGAGGAAATATAACAAGGGCATGGATCTTAAACAGGAAGGTGGTGACATGAATCTTCTACCAAACCTTGAAGGATCATCTTAGTAAATACAGATTAGATACATTGCATCAAGAGTTGACATGATATGCAACTGTTAGGAAAAGAAATGGGTGAAGCAAAGTGGTTGGTAGCATTGAAAGAGGAAAGGGAAGGAAGTAAAAGAAGGTACGAGTTGTTGACTCAGTATTCGCAAAGCGAAGGCTTAAGACATAATTCATGATTTAGAAGCTCTAATTTCAATGGAAGACAGCACTAAAATTGATACGCTATAATTCTTCCAATCATAATTGGTCTTACACAAGAAATCAGCATCCTGGATTCATTTCTGAAATTTACACATATCTGAAACATCAGTGGATACATACACAATGCTTTATTGATCATTCAGAGCCTCTCACTTTATTTTGGGATGGATTTTATTTATATTTTCAAAGGAAAACAAGTTGCTTGTCTCCTGCTTTCTCCAGAATTATGTGTGGCCTTTTCTCATCATTGCTACAAATTCTTCATAACTGATTCTACCATCCTGTGAAGAATTAACATATATTTTTGCTCTTGTAAGGGCTCAGGTATACATGCAGGTAGGTTGTAATGCACAAGAGGGAGACAATCACTTACTTTATCAGTATCAACATCATCAAGTACTTCATTGATGGTTGCTTCATCACCCATTCCATATTGTGACATGGCATGTTTCAGTTCGTCTCTTGTAATATACCTGGTGAAGAATTCAAGAAAGTAGATATCAAACAATTAGATCCATTGTTACAACCTCGATTGATGAACATCTGTTTTGTTTGGTGCTATTTTGCAAAGAATAAATGTTTGGTGATTGTGCTGCAGTCAGGAACCGAGTTCTTACCCGCTATGATCCTTGTCAAAGTATTCGAAAGCCTTCAACAAATGCTCTTCTTTCTCTAGTTTATGGCGATGCATCGTTGCAGTGATGAATTCAAGGTAGTCTATAGTCCCATTCTTGTCTACATCTGCCTGTGACAGAAAACGAGCGTTTCAGACTGTTCTTTGGTGCAGGTGATAGGAAAAGGAGATTGCATTGCTGTTTTACTGCGTCCATGAGTTGCTTGATCTCATCTTCGGTCAGCTTCGATCCCAGCCTTCTCAGTCCAGTCTTCAATTCTTCAAGTGTAATCGTGCCACTCTTATCGGTGTCTATGTTATTAAACGTATGTTGTAATCCCTTTAAATCCTCTTCTGAAAGATTCGTTGCGATTACCTTGATCACTCAAGAAGGCATCTTAGGTCAAAACTACAGCAGTTAATATAGAGAAAAACCTGTATAAATATTCCAAAAGTACTACCTTCAGCGCAAGTTTCTTCAGCTTGTTCATCGCTCTGAATTGCTTCATTCTGGTAAGAACTGCACTGTCAATAGGCTTATCTGATGCTTCACCAGCTTCTTTCAGCCATGGGTCCTCTGCTTTATCCAAACAAATCCAAATTACGATGAATGTAATCAGTATAATGAACCAGTCAAGCCAACAGATTACAAACGGAAGAAGTTAAGCTTCATCTTTGTATTGTCAATGCAATGATATGAGATTCTAACCAAGGGCCTGAGCAGCAGTAATTCTCCGCTTGGGGTCTTTTGTCAACATCTTTCTGATGAGGTTCTTTGCACCACGGGATATTTTTGGCCATGGTTGACTTTCGAAATCAATGTACCCTTGTAA